GGTGAATACAAGTCACATTTGACTTCTGCAATTACAAGAGGTGCTCAAAGTGGTTACCATTGGCGTCCACTTTTGATTACAGCAAACTAAAAATAATACATAGATGTTATCTCTTAAAATGTGTATACTGCTTCTTGGCACATAATTGTGTGTGTGAATATATATATAATTTGAGTCAGAGTCTCGCTCTGTCACCCAGGTTGGAGTGCAGTAGCCAATCACAGCTCACTGCAGCCTCAACATCCTGGGCTCAGGCAATCCTTCTGCCTCAGCCTCCTGAGTAACTGGGATTATAGGTACATACCATCACTAAAGTTTTTAGAAATGTTTTGTAAAGACGAGGTCTCGCTATGTTGACCAGACTGGTCTTGAACTCCTGGCCTCAAGTGATCCTCCCATGTTGGCCTCCCAGTGTTAGGATTACAGGCATGAGCCACTGTGCCTAGCAAATTTTATATATATATACACATATATATGTATATATATGTGTGTGTGTGTATGTATATGTATGTGTGTGTGTGTGTGTGTGTGTGTGTGTGTGTGTGTGTGTGTATATAATGATTAAGCATGACCATTAGTAAAATTTTATGGTCTTCAGAGAAGAGCATTGTTTCAGCGTTAACTTCTAATCCCGATAACTGGACTGAAGTTATATAAGAGAACGTTCCTGTTTTAGGATGGACATATAGACATGGATGGGAGGCAGGGAATCAAACGTAGTAAAATGACACCATTTTTGTCCATTATAAAATGCTGTGAGGAGCCAGGTGCAAAATATTTTACATAATTCTTTTACATAAAAAAATTGTTTAATACATTGACGAAGTTGCAAAGTTAGCACAGTTCCCAGCTTCCCCACATCCAACTCCCCCTAACATCTCACACATCTCATTGTCAGTGAAGCCAATATTCATGCATTAAAGTCTTTGCTTCATTCCTACCTTTTTCTCGATACCGTTTTTCTATCCCAGGACACACAGAGTCATCATGCCTCCTCAGGCTTCTCTTGGCTGTGCCAGTTTCAGACCTTCCTTATTTTGAACAACCCTGAAAGCTCTGAGGAGCACCACTCAGAGATTTCAGAGCATCCCTCCACCCCTCCACCAAGACATGTCTAGTCAGTTTCCTCCTGCTTAGACAAGGGTTGTGTGTTTGGGGGAGGAAGACCAGAAGCAAAGTCCCATTCCAGTGACAGCATATTAAAGGGACGCACTGAAATGACTTAGTGTTGAAGTTGACTTTGATCACCTGTCAGCGTTCTCCACTGGAATGACCTTCTCCCCGTCCATGGTAAGTCGACTCGTTCTTGAAGGTTGGCTGCAGACACTCTACAATTCTGTAGACTTATCAATTCTCCCCATCTACCACTTATCAGTAGACTCATCTATTTCGTACTTGAAACCCAATACCATGCTATTGATGCTATTTATCGCTCAAAATGGTTTCAGCTTTGGCCACCAGGAGCTTTCTGCTGGCTCCTGTGTCCCTTCAACACATGCCCATCAGTGGAGGGCTCTGGATTTTCATTTTCAGCAGGTTTTTACTTCCAGGCACAAGATGCTCCAGGCTCATCTTGTGTCTTTCATGCCCCAGCCCTAGGATAATCTTAGTACAGTACTATTTTTGAAAGTTTTCCGTGAGTCAGCAACTATGTCAAAATTTAAAATATGTGAATGACTATACTTTTTTGGAAAGCTTTCAGAGACGTATTAAGATCTTGGGATGTGGGTGACAAACACAAAACACATGCACAGTAAAGGTGGAGCAGTAGGGTTTATTACGGCACTGTTAGTAGCAGCAAAAGAAAAAGAAACCCAGTAGATTCCTGTCAACAAGGGGCGGCTGAGTCAGCCTAGGCACGTCCACCCCAGGGAGCCTGGGAAGCAACCAGAAGCATGAGTTCCCACCAGGAGAATCTTACTTCTCCCTGACCCACACGCCCCACTCATATACGTGAGTCGGCAGCAGTGTGGCTAAAATGCAGCAAGACAGACCCAGGGGCCTGGCATTAACTGGGAGGAAAGGGTTATGCGAAACAAAGAGGGTAGTCAGGAAGGACACTCCGCCCAAGTGCAGACTCCGCCCAAGCGCAGAAGTAACATGAGTACCAGAGCACTCAAGGTCCTAGATCTGGGGTGATTTTTTACTCCCATTTTGCTGTTATTTTTTTAAATGGTAAAATATTTGCATATTGGTATTCTCAACATACACAAAAAGAACTTGTGAGATGTTTAAAACATACATTATGAAAGACTGATTATTCTACTCAAGATCTAATTGGTAAAATTTTATTAAAACTCTTCAACCTTGGCCAGGTGTGGTGACTCATGCCTGTAATCCTAGCACTTTGGGAGGCTGAGGTGGGAGGATCACTTGAGCCCAGGAGTTCAAGATCAGCCTGGGAAACATAGCAAGACCAGTATCTCTCTACAGGTGGCATGTACCTATAGTCCCAGCTATTTAAGAGGTTGAGGTAGGAGGATCTCTTGAGCCCAGGAGTTGGAGGCTATAGTGAGCTATGATCATGACACTGCACTCCAGTCTGGGTAACAAAGGGAGATAACATCTGTCTAAAAAAAAAAAAAAAAAGACAAAACCCAACTATTCAACCTCAAAATCCCTCTTTGGGAAAAGTTCTGCAGAAAAGCACCAGTACATCTGAGGATATATGTTCAGCTAAGGAGAGCTGTGGAGCCCCATCCTGTAGAACAGGAAGCAGCCACTCAAGGAATGAAGCAGCCAGAAATGTGCCCACACAGGGAGCTCTGAGTCACTGTGATGAGAGAAGAACTTAGCAGCAGTCCCCTCAGGGGCTGGGATCAGATGGAAGAGTAAAAGGCTTTTCTTTTTTTTGAGTAGGAGTCTCACTGTCGTCCAGGCTGAAGTGCAGTGGCACACTCATGGCCACCACGGCCTCAGCCCACTGAACTCAGGCAACCCTTCCGCTTCAGCCTTCCAAGTAGCTGGAACTACAAGCATGTGCTACAACGCCCAGCTAATTTTTTGATTTATTGTAGAGATGCGGTTTCGCCAGGTTGCCAAGGCTGATCTCGGATCTCTGGATTCAGGCAATCCTCTCGCCTCCACCTCCCAAAGCACTGAGATTACAGGCATGAGACTCCATGCTCAGCATAAAAGGCTCTGTTTATCTTATGACCACCAGGGCAGACTTTTGTAACTGAATTAACAATAAAGTCCATGTGATATCAGAAAGACAAAAACAAAAAACAACAGGAATCTTAAGTTGTAGCTAACTCCAATTTCTGTAAATCGGATCTGACTTTTCCGCTTAAATTTACTTAAAATGTCAAAGACTCAATGGGTGTGAAGACCTAACACCTTCTGGTAAAATCGGAAATTAAATTCATCCGTGCCAAGCCCTCTGCGCAGCTGGGCTCAGCAGGGTACAGCCCTGGTCCCTGGGCCTAGGCGAGGAGGCTCAAACCCAGGAGATGCAGGGGCCCAGCCACCACATCCTGCCCTAGGCATGGGGAACCTTCCCAAACCCCGCAGTGGGCCCCTCCCACACCCAGTTCACCAGTCCTCCCTCCTCTCCAGCCTTTGCTTGTGCCCACGCTGGCCCCCAGCTGCCCAAGTCCTGACCCTCTGAACACAGCAATGAGAGCAGGAGGAACTCGATGCCCAGGGTCAGCCTCCACACCAAGGACAGGTCCAGGGGCAAGCACAGGTCCAGGCTGCGCCCTGGTCTCAAACGAGTGTCTTTATTGCTTGTACCGTACAAATACGAGGAATGGGGAAAGGCCAGTGGGAATGAGGGAGAACTGTCAGATAAACATACACACACAAAGAGGAAAAAAGACCCCCCACCCAACCCAACCACCCCCACCTCATGATGCCTTTCTGTGAATTGTCTAATACAGGAGGTGGGATGGGGAAATCAAAATCACAAAATCTAAATCCCAAACACCTAGAGATGTTGGGGGGAAGGGCAGGGAGGGAGGCGGGGACAGGGCAAGTGGCTCCCAGGTGGGGCTCCTCCCACTAGGTCAGCGCCCCTCTCCCCGGGGGATGAAATGCTCGGGCCAGGGACGGGGCCCAAGTCCACACACACCACACACACACTTGAGGGTCCGCTGCCCTCCCACACACATACCCAGCATACATGCATGTGCACGCGTGTGCACACACACACACACACGTGCATCTGTGTCCCACTGACATACAAAGTCTGAGGCATGCACACATGTACCCACAGCACTGACATGGACTTGCACTCATGTTCACCTTAAGGCTGGAGAACGTGGAGCCCTGGAGAGGGGGAGGGTGAGGTGGCCTAGGAGCCTCCCTTCTTAGAGGTCCCCCACCCCAATGCGTACCAGATTCTGACTCCACCCCGTCCCTGACGTAAGTCCACAGGGCCCAATACTGTCTCGGTGCGAGATGTGTAACAGCCGAGGCTGGTGCCCCTCCATCCCAGGCAGAGAGAAGGGGACAGTCCCAGCCTCCATCCTCCACTGGGGCCGGGCCGGGCCGGGCGGGCCAGACCCGGGGTCCGTTGGGAGGTAAGGCCAGCTGGAAGGAAGCCCTGGTAAGGCACGGGGCTACAGGGAGGGCAGGCTAGCGCCCGAATGCTCCTCCTGCCTCATCCACAGGGTCAGGAGAGCAGCTTAGGGGAAAGGGAGGAGGCAGGCCAGGGGGCAGAGCCCACCCCGGGCCCTTCCTGTTCCCCATGATGCAGATCCAAGGACCTGGCTCCTGTCACGAAGAAGTTCTAACCCCCAATCCCACAGCTTCCAAGGGCCCCTGTGGGTCCCTGGACATTATTGCTTTTCTGTCCCCATTAGGGGACAAGGGGAAGTTGGACCACCCCATGCCAGGCCTCTCCGAGCCTGGGCAATGGGGCCTGGAAGGCAGCACCACCGTCCACTGGGCATTGTGTCCCACTGCAGACAGCCTTCATCCAGAAGCAGCGGCGCGTAGGCAGGCGACCTGCACAACACCCCAGCCAGAAATGCAGACAGGCCCCGCAGCTCTGCGTTTCACCCCTCACTGGGGCTTGTGTGGATTAAAACCTGGGTCTCTCCAGCCACCCGACAGCCCGGTCCTGGGGCAGGTGAGTCTCCCAAATACTAGTCTGGCACAAAGGTGAGGCTGGAGGCAGGGGCTGCTGGGACTGCTGGGCGAGGCTGGGAGTACTGAAGAACTGGAAATGGGGCTGGGAGGTGTACGGGGGTGGGGATACAAACCAAAAGGTAAATTAAAAGTCTTTAAAAAGCCACCCAGGCGATGGCAGCCGTGCGTGCGTCCTGGGGCAGCAGGCAGAGTGCTCACTCGCGGATGCTGGCTGAGTAGGAGAACTGGGGGAAGTGGGTCCGCTGGTCCAGCTCCAGCGAGCCCAGGCTGTCATCTGCAGAGTTGGTGAAGGCAGGTCAGGACTGGCCTGCAGAGGGCCTGGGGATCCCCACCCAGACTCCTGTTGTGGGACCCCTACCTCTCTCCTGACAGAGTCCCTCAGCCACGACCCCACTCCGAGGCCAGAGCCCTGGGCAGCCTTGCCCGGGAAGTTTCCTGTGCTTGGCCTCCTACACCCCACCGCCTCTCCTCACCACCTCCCAGGCCTCTCCAGCCCAGGCCTCTCCAGCACAGTGCCCTGTCCTGGACACCACCCTCACCTCCTCCAGCCCACCTTCCACAAGAAGCCAGGGACTTTCTACAGTCCTAACGCAACCCTGCCCCTCTGCACAAGCCCTTTCATGGCTCCCCATGCAAGAAGCCCCCACGCCTCCCAGGGGCCCCAAGGCCCCACACTCTGACCCCAAGCCCTCTCTCCTCTCCCCTCCTATTTTCCTGACTGCTGCCTGTCCCTTGACCAGGCCAAGCTCTATTTCTGGCATCCCCATGCCATTACTTCTGCCAGGAATGCAACTCAGCTGACATGTATGTTTCCTCCTCCAGGAAGTTCCCGACCAGCAGTCCAGGTTAGGGACTTCCTTTCTTCTTCCCTAGTCCCAGGCCTCCTATACCCTAGCCCTGATTGCTCTGGGCTGTCACCCCATCTGGCCCGGGAGCTCCCTGGGGACAGGTCCAAGGTGGGCTTGGTCACTGCTGTGTCTCCATCAGAGCTCAGCCCCAGGCTAGGTTCAGAGTAAGATCTCAAATAGCTGTAGCCCCTGAACCAGTCCAGGTCCAAAGACCTGGGCTGTCTCCTATCCAGAGCTCTCCCTGAGCTCCATAAATACTGTGGCCAATGGCTCCCGGTCATCCTCACCAGTCCCAAGAGAACCAACAGCAAAAGGCCCTGTGGGCAGATCTTAGAGCTATGTGTCCAGACATGGAGAGGGTGGCCTTGGAGGGTCCTCTAGGAGCTGGGTCAGCGCACCCTACCCCTCTACCACCCAGACAGGCTCACAAGGTGAGGGGGCCCCAGACACTCACAGCGGTCCGGGGGTGTGATTGTGATAGACTGGGCGGTGAATTCATCATCGAAGTACCTTGTGTCGACCTCGGATGTGACCTGAGGTTTGAAGGGTGGCAGGAGCTACGGAGGAAGGGAGCCCAGACTCAGGGACCCTGAGGAGCAGGCCAGGCCCCTGGGGGCTCCAGTTGGGGCAGGTGTGGGGACTCACCTTCTTTTGTACCACGTCCTGCCAGTTGATGCTGAGGAAGAACCTGTGCTCCATGACCTCCTTGGCATCGCTGGGCCCCCCACCAAGCCTGGGCAGAGACGGCCATCAGCACCTGCCTCCCGGAGCAGCTGAGTTCTGGGAGACGGGCTTTCGGCAAAGGCAGGCCTGAGCCTGCAACGCAGGCCCTACACAGCCGCTACCGATTCTGTCTTGGCCACAAACCACCACTTCACACAGGAGGAAACCGAGGCTCTGGGAGGGGGGCACAGGTGCCCAGGGTCAGAGCCAGAAAGATGGCAACCTGGACCTTCGTGGTCACACAGGTTGGGCTCACCATGAGTCCAGAACAGGAGTTGATGGGGCAGCCTTGGCAGCTGGCTGGTTCACATCCTGGCTCTGCCACATACAACTCAGTGAACCAAAGCCTGCCCTGTGCCTCAGTGTCCCCATCAAATAGGGCAATGCAGGGAGAGTACCAAGGACAGGCCTGGCCCAAGGAAGCGCTCTCTAGTGCCCCCTGTGGGTATTTTCAGGGGCCATGCGGGGACAACACACACTGTTACCCCATAAGCAAAGGCACCTAGGGACACTGTCCCCTCCAGGCTGAGAGGACAGTGGCAGCAGGTGGCACCGGGCTGGGCCAGGCAGATGCCAGCCCTCACCTCTGCTTGGGGTCCTTCTTGAGCAGCCCAGCAAGCAGGGACTTGGCCTCGGGGCTGAGCGTGCGTGGGAAGCGGATCTCCTCCATGAGGATGAGCTCGAAGAGGCGCTCATGGTCCTGATTGTAGAAGGGCAGGCGGCCACACATCATCTCGTACATGACCACACCCAGTCCCCACCAGTCCACCGCCCGGCCATAGTCGTTGTCCTCCAACACCTGAGGAGGAAAGGACAATGAGCGGCCAGGCCCATGCCCCCACCCTCAGGCCAGCAGGGTGGTGTAGGAATCACACTCTTGCACTCAGAGGGTCTGGGAGGGGGACATTAGGGTCTGAGGGTGCCCTCCACCCTTGGCCTCACATGTTCCCATGACCCCCAGCCCAGACACCTCAGGCGCCAGGTACTCCGGGGTCCCACAGAAGGTTTTCATGGTGGCCCCGTCACTGATGCCCTCTTTGCACAGACCAAAGTCAGTGATCTTGATGTGGCCATCTTTGTCCAACATGAGGTTTTCCAGCTGTTGGAAAAGTCAACGCATCAGGGGCACGACCTCCAGGATTTCCTGCCATCGAGCCCTTCCCTCGAGGTAGTTGTGGCCTGGAGTAGCAGCTGTCATGCCACTCCTAGATGTCAGTCACTCCACGCCAGACGGGCCCCAGCACACGGTTAAGCCCTTGCTCCCTGTGGCGCACACCCTGCCACCCTGCAGCGTAGCTGGACATGGCCAGTCAGGGGCTGGGAGCCAGGCCCTGCCCACCTGCTGCCCTCAGGGTTTCTTAAGTTCAGATGTGGTGGGCACTGAGCTATCTTCTCTTTTTTTTCCTAAACTTTTTGTCTTTTAACTATGAAATAGTCCAGGTTCAGTGGCTCAGCTTATAATCCCAGCACTTTGGGAGGCCGAGACGAGTGGATTGCCTGAGTCTGTGGGTTCAAGATCAGCCCAGGGAAACTTGGTGAGACCTCGTCTCTACAATTAGAAAAAAATTAGCCACCAGGTGTGGTAGCGCGCGCCTATAGTTCTGGCTAGCTAGAAGGCTGAGGCGGAAGGACTGCCGGTGCCCAACAGGTTGATGCTGGGGTGGCAGTGAGTGTGCCACTGCTCTCCAGTCTGGGTGACAGAGTGAGACTCCAACTCAAAAAAAAAAAAACTATGAAATATATACCAGGAAAGAACATACACATAAAACAGAAATAGGCAACTTGTGGGGCCTCTGTGTAACCTCCAGCAGGTCAGGCTAGAACATCAGTGTGCCCCACTCAGTCACCGACCACCCCACACCAAGATGTCGCTTCCACTCCTGCCTTTCTGTACAATCTGTGCTACCTACACACACCTGCACTAAGTAGGCTCACCTCATCTGTGCTGGCCTCCCCTCAACATTAGCCTGCAGGAGGTACCCATGCTGTGGGACGCAGCTGTAGCTTGTTCTTTGAGCTGCATCACACCCCACGGTGTGACTATCCCACAGGGATCTGACAGTGGATACTTGGGTTGTTCCAGTTTGAGCTGATCAGAATCTTGCTCCTCTGAGCACGTGGGGATGCCTTCTGAGATGAATAATGTCCCTGTTTCTGCCATGCACACAGCTAGGGCAGATGGCTAGAGCTCGGCTTTGGTGGACACTGCCAAGCTATCTCCTAAATCAGGGCTTGCGCCAACTGAATCAGGGCTTGCGCCAACCTCCACCAGCAGCTTGGAAAGCGGTTACGGGAGGCTGGGAGAACGCCCCTCCACAGGGTGCTTGCTACAGAACCACCACCCTGAACCGTGGCGGGTGCTTGGCAGATGAGGGCAGAGGGCCCCACCTCCCTGGGGTGAGTTCCATGTGAGCCACAGGCCAACCTAGACCCTCTGTGTGTTCGTGCTACCCCCTCCCCGCTTACCTTGATGTCACGGTACACCACGTCCCGTGAGTGTAAGTACTCAAGAGCTGAGACAATCTCTGCACCATAAAACCGGGCCCGCTCTTCTGTAAAGACGCGCTCCCGGGACAGGTGGAAGAATAGCTGCCCGAGGAAGGGGAGGGAGAGGAGGTCAGACTCCAGCCCAGAGGAAGGAAGGACAGGGCCCTGGCCCACACTGCCCTCACTCTCCCAGCCCCCTATCCCAGCACAGTGACACCTGCTCCAAGAACTGGCAGGTGATAGCAAGAGGGACCGCATGAGAGACAGTGAGTGGAGAAGAGCGCAGATGTGTGAAAAGAGCAAGGGAAGAGGGTGGGGGTCAGCCAGAAGGAGCCAAGAGGAGCAGGGGAGGGATGTCAGCCAGGAAGCAGACAGCAAGTGATAATAAGCCACAGGGCCAAAGCAGACAGAAGAAGAAAATCACCTGTCACAACCCAGGGTGTGACACCTGTGTGCACAGAGAAGGCCACAAGAGATGCGGAGTGGGTGACAGAGTGAGCATGAGTACTCAAAGACAGGAAATGGCTGAATTTATCAGTTTCAGGAGGACATGGGGCACACAGACTCCTGCCTGGTGCGGTCAGCCAACTGCCCTCATAGCCCTCTCCACACCTCTCTGGACCTGGGTTGGATCCTGACCCAGCAACTCACTAGCTATGTACTTGGGCAAGCCACTCAAGCGCTCTGAGTCTTAGTTACCACCTGCAAAATAGAGCTGAGGTCACCTGCCCAAGGTGGGGGTTGCAAGATGACATTCAGTAGGTCTCCCCCCATCCCCTCCATCTCAACCACAGTTCGCCCCACACTCTGGAAGGAGAGCCCTGAAAGTGAGGCCAGGGCAGCTGCGGCTCACCTCTCCACCGTTGGCATACTCCATCACAAAGCACAGGCGGTCATGGGTCTGGAAGGCATACTTCAGGGCCTGGGGATGGCATGAAGGTGGCAGGGTAAAAGGTCGGCAGGAGGAGGACTCTGCTGAGCCTGGGAGGCAGGGACACTACTTATTCTGCACATATACTCCCCACCCCAGTCTGTGCCCATGGGAGCCCAGGTGATGGGGATCAAATCCCAGCTTTGCATTTTGGAGTATGTAGGTCAAGTCATGGCTCTGAGGTCAGGACAGGGGTCACTGTGCTGAACCATCTTCTCTGCCCTCACCAGGCACAGCCAGGGATAAAGTATGTTCCGTGCAACCAGAGATGTGTGACTTCTCTCTTCCTCTTGTTTTAACAGTAAAATATGTTCAACCTGCACACACACACACACGCACTCACACACAATGTGTACTGTGGCTAGGAGTGTAACAACCTGGAAGCCAACTCCCAACACAGGATGGACAAGCTGTGAGTCAACAAACAGTAATTCTCAAACTGTGCACTAAGAATCCCTACAGAGCATCCCTCAGAGACCCTTGAGTGACCCCCTCTGCTCAGGACAACTCTATTGTTCCCTGTCTTCTACACTGAGGTACCTCGTAAGATTTCATTTGAACAAGTGTTGTAACTGATCAGGATACCTGGACAGAAACTAAAGAAATGACATATAAGCCATCCTCAACCTAGACAAATGAGGCTAACTGATGGCCACTGGCCTTGATTGAGGCTATAGCCTCAAGAAGTATCTACTCAGTTCAAGTTGATTGTCTAGACAACACAATCGGCTTCTATGATTGTATCTTATAACAAAAGCAAAAAAAATCCCCACTTCGACCAGGTAGACACTTAACTCATAAAGACAGCAGCCACACTCACCAAGGCCATCCTGTAATGTGCTATCTTCAGTCGGCTAAGGCGCTTACATGAAGTCACCAACTATGAAGAAGCTGCCACTCCCCCAATCCCAACCCCCGTGTCTTGATTCAGATGATCTGAAGAGTGCAGCAGCACCTCGCCCTGCCCCCTGGCCTACACCAAAGCTGTGCTTTGTAGTGTCAGGTTTGGGCTCTTTCCCTGAGCTTTGTTCAAATGGGTCAGGGGAGGTCCCACTGGCTTGTCAAGGGGAGGGCAACTCACAGTGAGGAACGGGTGTCTGGTGTTCTGGAGGACCCGGCTCTCAGTGACTGTGTGAGCAACTTCATCCTGCAAACAGAGCGTGGGTGAGGGGTTGTGAGGGCAACACCGTGCCTGCCCACTCTTACCTGAGAAACGGGGAGCAAGGTCTTAGTGAAATATAGTTCCATTCCCACCCTTAAATGTAGAAAGAATGGCAGGCATAGAACTTGACCATTGAATAATGGAGCCATACGGTATCATCAATGACTCTCTCTCAAAACCACAGGGAAAAAGGTCAATGGGACTTCACAACAGAGGGATCAGGCTGCTGCCACCTGAACACACGGGCCAGCTGTAACATCCCTAAAAGTAGGACAAGCAGACATTCTGAGACCCTGCCACAGGGGTGCTGCCACAGGATGTGGGAAACACCACCTCTAAGAGTTCCTAACCAAAGAAGGAACTGGACCTCATCAAAGCGTAGAGAGCAGAGAGCCCTTCTCAGGGTGTGGTCCTCACACTGGCAGCATAAGCACAGCCTGGGAACTTGTCAAAATGCAAATTATTGGGCTCCAGCCCAGACCCACTGAGTCAGAAACTCAGGGTGGGCCCAGGAGTGTCTCACAAGCCCTCTGGGCAATTCGAATACAAGTTCAAGTTTGGTAACCAGGGGTTGAGCAGAGCTATCAGGAGGGCTCCAGAAATCCAGAAATTCCTGCAGTACCTTAGACACTGACAAGGTCCAAATGGCCCCTGGTATGGGGATGTCAAAAGCCATTTTTTATTGTCACAACTGCGGGGGCTACTATGGCTTGAGAGAGTGGAAGACAGGGACGCTGCTCAGAATCCTACAATGCATAAGACAGCCCAACAGCAAAGAACGATCTGGTCCCAAATGTCAACAGTGCTGAGGCAGAGAAACCTTGCCTTGGACCAATCACATCAGGAATTAGCAGGTAAATCTGCTGGAAATGATCACAGCACTACACGATCATATTCTTAAATCCTCCTCTGTTACAAAACACGTGTAAGTATGAATATAGGTGAAACAATACAATGTCTTAAAATATTCCAGACCGAAAAAAGGGAGGGCAGGGCTACTGTAACAAGATTAGCCATACATTAACAACTGTTGAAACTAGGTGATGGCAACATGGAAGTTCATTATATTTATTTTCTTTTTAAAATTTTGTATATGGGTTTCAAATCTTCCATTACAAAAACTTTAAGGGAAAAATGAGAATTCCATTCCCAGCCTAGCCTCCAACTAACAGCCCTGAACCAAGTCCCAGCCTCCCCACAGGAACCTCCTTTCAGGCCTTGACTGCCTGCGGGGTGAGGCCCGGAGGCAGACTCTCTCCATGGCATCCTCCGGATGCCCAGAGGGGGAGTAGGGGACTAAGTGGGCAGGCCCACCCCTCTTGGCATCTCAGACTCCCCTTCTCTGACTGGGGACTTCCAGGACTGAGTCCAAGGGGCACTGGACATGTGGGGGACATAAAACTACAGCAGCAAAGGGCACAGGTAAAGCATCTGTCCCACAAGAGCTCCAAGACCTGGCAGACTCCAGACCGCAGCTCCCAAGGAGGCCAGTTAACAGCAGTCCCCAGAGCGCCCACCTTGGCAATGATAACCTCCTTCCGCAGGATCTTCATGGCGTAGTAGCGGCCAGTGGCCTTCTCCCGCACCAAGATGACTTTGCCAAAGGTTCCCTTGCCGAGGAGTTTGAGATAGTCGAAGTCATTCATAGTCTGCCAGGGATGGGGAGAGAGTAGGGGCAGTCAGCACCTGGCACAGGGCCCGTGGGAGGAAACTTTAACAAAGAAAGAGGAAAACCAACAGACACTGTTGCCAAACGGCTTAGGTTAGAGCAGGAAGGGAGGCTCCAGGCAGCAACTGTCTGTTCTGAAGCCTTCAGACCAGGCACTCCTCCTCACGCCTCTCCCAGGCACAGGGCCTGGGGGAAGGGGGACTGGGCCTAGAGCTCTGACATGGGGGATGCCAGATCTTCACAAGCAACCAGGATGAAGCCGCAGCAGGTCCACTCAGGGATGCCCCTCACTCCAAAGGCACAGAGCAGGCCCTGGGGCAACTACCACCTGAAATCATGCCATCCTGCATCGCAGCCATGACGTCTCTAAGCTGAACTCCTGCATGCTGTGCATGAAAACCAAAGGAGCTGGGCCAGCATTGGGGTGGGGGCACCTGAAGACTAGCATCCCCCACCCCCTGGCCACCTGCCCCCGCACTTACCACTTTGGCCCGTGCCTTGCTGACCGCCACTTCCATCTCCTCAGCTGCAGAAGAGTCACTGGGAGAGCCACACTTGTAGTCCATGGGGTCCTCACCTGGGCCCCGCTGCTTGAGGCTGTTGGCAACCATCTGGATGGCCCTCATCCACTCCTCCCTGTGCAGGGACAGACACAGGAGCCATGGGTCCTGGGGAGCCACAAGTCCTGGGCCTCAGGGCCTTGGGGCTGAGTGCCACCTTCCAGCCCACCCCATCCAATGGGCAAGCAAATGACCAAATGCCTTTGGGCATGTTGGAAGATCTGTCTGAGCCAGGGAAGCTCAGTGAAATGTCAGACCTCTGGCTGTGATGGGTGGCAGAAGGCAAGAGTGGCATGCACACAAAGATCACTGATTTCCCAGGAGTGGGCTGGCCTGAGGGCCACCTGAAGTCAGGCAGCAAGGAAGTGACCAGAAAGGGGAGAGCACTTTTCTTCACAGTCCCTTGAGAATGAGCTGCCACCCAGAGCCTTGAATGAGGAAGAGACAGTGCTCCTCTAAATTCCTCTGGAACAAATGGCAAGCTCAAGTCTGTAAGTCACCAATGTCTTATAAAGAAAAACCAAGAGTAAAAGGAAGCATTCATGAGCCAAAGCAGCTGAAGATCTTCCAAGGCAAGAGCTAGCTGACAGGACTCCCTAGAAAGAATGGTCTGCTGGGAAAAAGTAGTTTTGTGTGATACACATGGAAACAGAGGCTCGGAAGGAGTACATACAGCCCAGCAGGGGGGACTAGCTCAGATTCGAAGTCCAGTCCCAGCCACTTGTTCCCTGCTTGACCTTGAGTAGGGGCCTCAGGGGCCTTATAGCACAGGTGCAGTGATGCTTGCCCTCTGGGGTAGGGATGATTCCGGAGGGCACATATGAGGGGCTTGGCCTGTTCTTGGCGTGGCAAGGACAGAGGTCCTGGCAGCCCAGAAAAGATGGTGGACAGGAAGCAGGTCTCAGCAAAAAGGACCCTGGTTGAAGAACAACAAACTAGTTATCTCACTCATGATTTAGAACTCGCTGGGAAAGAATTTTCTTCTGATACCTGTAAATTGTCCTAATAACAGAAAATGACCAGAGACCAAAAATATATACATATTAGGCTGAATGATACTAAACTGACCATATCCCCTCATTTTTGATCTACTACACAATAATTAGGTGGTTCAACCCAAAACAGTTTGAACTGTTCACGCTCATGTCTAGAAAACAGCCATATGATGAGTGGGGAAAATAAAATGTTCACTAAGAATGAGAAAATTCAAAGAGTTCAGGCAGGCTATCTCCCAAATCCTAGTGATTTAAATAAGCCACAGTGAGTGCAGCCAGCTCCAACAGAAGCCAAGAATAAGCCAAGCCCCTCATACATGCCCTCCGGAATCATCCCCACCCCAGAGGGCAAGCATCACTGCACCTGTGCTATAAGGCTCCGAGGCCCCTACCCAAGGTCAAGCAGGGAACAAGTGGTCAGGACTAGACTTCAGATCTGAGTCAGTCCCCCCTGCTGGGCTGTATGTACTCCTTCCAAGTCTCTGTTTCCATGTATTTCACACAAAACTACTTCTTTCATCAGCCCTGAGACGCACTGATTTCCCAGGAGTGGCCTGGCCTGAGGGCCACCTGAAATCAGGGAGCAAGGTAGTGACCATGTGTGACACCGCTAGAGTGCAGAAGCATCTTATACTTGGTGACCTGTCTTGATTTACTAGGCATGGCTTTTTCTTGAAATTATATGAAATAATAGTGTCTCCTAGATGATAGCAGCATCTTAGATTTGATGAAATATGATGGCAGTGCTCACATACAGAATGTTGTAAGAATGAATGCAAAGCATCTACATGATGAGACATTTTGCAGCTGAGAGGAAGAAAGGCACGTCTACACACTGACTCGGAATGACCTAGTACATCTTAAACGAGAAAAGGAAGGTGCAGAAGAACAATGTGAAGGGCTGTGCTACTGGAGTTGGGCAATGATGACATTTCTGCACACACAGGCTCACATAAGCACGAATATTTCCGGATGAGCAATCACGATCTAGGGCCCTGAATGCCTCCAGGGAAGGGAACTGGGAGTCAGGGTACAAGGAGGAGTCTTCTAACAAACACTCACAGAGCACTCTTATAAAGAAGGAAACTGAGGCACCAAATTCAAGAAAAACGCAGTAGCTGCTCCAAGCCTGGTAGCTGGAATCACAAAAGGCCTGTGGCTCTCCCAGGGCAGAGGGCAGTCCTTGCTTAGCTCCATGGCTTGTTGAGCCCAGCAGCAACTATGCTCAGAGGTCCCAGTGAGTGCATGGAGGCTCTGCCTTCTCACACTGACTTCACTTGCCCGAGAGATGATGCTTGTAAGACAAAAATGCATGAATATCGTATCATGTTTTGTAAGACAGATGCATAAACACCAAATGCTAGCATGCTGCTCAGCACCCAAGCAGAGTCCTAGCTCCCCATAAGCCATCTATGTCCACCCCATAAGGGCAGGGATATCCAACTGCTTTGAACATGATATGCCCCTAAATCCTAGGGAGGGAAGTTGGGAGGTATTTAGATAATGAATAAGCGATGCAGCCCAAGTCCAAGTGCCCCAGGACCAGTGCACAGTGAAGCCCAGTGCACACCCAAGCAGAGCAGTACTGGCTTCTTCCCTCCCTGAGCCAATATCTCAAGCCAGTATTTCTCAACTTATTTTAACCCGTGCTCCCTTTGGAACAAGTTAAAGCCCAAATCCGTCTCTGCATTAATATTCTTGTGTGTTTTTTTTTTAAGTGGGGGAATAGGAACAGATCCCATGAGACACTTTATCAGATACAGTTGTTCTCTGAGAAATTTTAAAATGCTGACTGAGCATAAGATGGTGGATTGGGGGGAAAAAATTCACAGATATCCTAAGAGATACAGAGGATATATTAAAAGGAGAAATCTATCTTGCTCATACACAAAAATCTAGAGACTACCACATGACGACAGTGGCAGGTTGCAGACTAAGATGCACCGTGTGATACCAGCTTTGTTTACAAAGAGGGGCAGAGAGAAGAGCATGGTCCCTTGACAGCGTCCTGTACACGACAAGAGGGCATCCACACCACCAGCACCAGATGCAGCTTTATAGGGCTACTCAGAGGAGGATCAGGAACATGGGTTCTGGAGCCACACCAGCTGGGATTCCAAGAGCAGCTCTGCCACCTGCAAGTCAGCCTCGCAGTTCACCCTGTCCCTGTGGACTGGGGCCAAGAGGCTGGTGAGCTGCACGTGAGAGCACCACACACAGGGCCTGGCACAGAAAGCACTCAGCTCGTGGAAGGTGCTGATGACACTGCTGGGGCCTGGACCTATGCCACTACCCTGGCTCAAGCTACCCATCTCACAAGGAGCCCTGAGAACCCATGGCAATGCTAGGGGTTGGTCGGGGGTAACTGGGGCTCTACCATCTCCTGACAAGTCTCCAATCCTGTTCCAACTGGACCAAGGTTGCAAGGTTGCAGCACTCAGAATTCCAGAGGAAAAGCGAGGGCCTCTGTCCAGGACACTGATCAAGGGTTTGCAACATGGTGTCTAGGGCAAAGGAGAGCTCCCACCCAAAGCCGGTGCTTAAGTACCTCCAATCCCCAAAGGGAGAACCCAAAGGGAAACCAATCTCCTTCCCTGCCAGGAAACATGGCTAGGAAAACAACAGCACTCAATGGCCAGCTCCACAGATGCAACCTCACTCAATTCTCAAGAGTACTGGAGGGGAGACAGCATTTTTCTTTCTTTTTTTCTTTCTTCCTTCCTTTCCTTCCTTCCCTTCCCTTCCCTCCCTCCCTCTCTCTCTCTCTTTCTTTCTGAGTAAGAGTCTCACTCTGTCACCCAGGCTGGAGTATCACGACCATGGCAGCCTCAATGTGCTAGATTCAGGTGATCCTTCTGCCTCAGCCTTCCAAGTAGCTGGAACCACAGGAGCGCATCACCATACCTGGCTAATTTTTTATTTACTGTAGAGATGAGGTCTTGCCAAGTTGCACAAGCTGGTCTTGAACCTCTAGACTCAGTCAACCCTCTCATCTCCACCTCCCAAAGTGTTGGGATTACAGGCAAGAGCCACCATGCCCAGCTGACAGAATTCCTGATGCTGGGACTGAGGCATATGGAGGTGGGGTCACCTGGAAGTCACACAGCAGGGACATGACAGACTGCACTCGCCCATGCACAGCCCATTCCTCTTTGGCACCATGCTGTCCTTCCCTGTGTCAGGGTCTGAGTCTCAGACTTGAGAGAAGCTGATGAAACTACAGCCTCAGTTCCCACACAATGCCCAGAGGATCAAGCAGGGACACTCTCGAGAAGGTTTATGGACCAAGGGTTACCACGCCAGGTAGCCCAAGTGCAAAGTGAAGGAATGCCTCTCCTTGGAAGCTGTGATCTGGACCACCTTTCAGAAAGGGACTCCCCACTAAACAGGTCACATGAATACCTTCTTCTGCTGTGCTCTATATGTGGTGGGCCCCTTTCACCCTCCCCGCAGTCCCATGCAGTACTCACTGTCGTGCCTTTCATTCTATAAATGCCAAGACAGAGGCACAGAGAGGCTGACATCTGCCCACTTACACAGCAGTCAGCAGAGGTCAGGGACATAAACACAGCTGTTTCTACCTCCCCCAGAAGCACTTCTCGCAACAGAGGCATTTCTGGAGGCTCCTCATCCTCACTTGGACTTAGGGTCAGAGGAGGGACATGTGGGGAAGCCATGTTTGCCCAAGTAACACAGGGCAGGGCACAGGCTCAGAAGTCAGGAGCCTGAGGCCTGGGCCTCAGCCATGCTGCATACTAGCCATAGCCCTCAGGTCCAACTTCCCCGGCCTGTTTGCCTCCCACATCAACTAGGGATCTCACAGTGGTTCAAGTACGGATTCGGGAACCGATGGCTTGGGTGTGATTCTGATCTCTGCCCCTTCCTGCAGGCAACACTGGGCAGGTCATTTGACTCCCATGGGCTGGCACATAAAGTGGGCACTAGAGGATCGTGTGAGGGTGAAATGAGATGCTGCATATAAAGCACGTACAGCAGTGCCTGGCACAGAGTAAGTACCTCAAAAGGCTGGCATGAGAGCCCAGTCAGCCAGCAAATATTAACGGAGTGCTTCTGTGCGCCA